CCCAGGGGGATAGCTTGAGGCTCTGTCTCAAAAAAAAAAAAAAAAAGAGTTAGGCTCTAATAGATCAAGAATCAGCCAAAAGGAATGTTGAGTTAATTAAGGGTCTGTTAATTAGAGACAGACAACCAGACTTCCATGCCCAGACTCAAATAGTTTATTGTATATATTGAGGACCTGCAGGTATATCTTGTGTTGGGGGTTGGAGCCCCTGGTTCCCAGAACCCAGATGACTTGGTTTGATTATTGGGCTAAGCTAGAAAGATCAACCGAGGCACAGCAGAAATTGAAAGTAAAAACAATGGAGGCTTGGCACCTGTTGCTCAGCGGCTAGGTTGCAGGCTATGTATACCGGAGTTGAAGTGTTCTAACCCGGCCCAGGGCCTGCCTGGGGTCAATGACAATGACAACTACCATAAAAAAATAGCGGGGCATTGTGGGGGGTCCCTGTAGTCCCAGCTACTTGGGAAACGGAGGCAGGAGAATTGCTTAAGCCCAAGAGTTTGAGGCTGTTGTGAGCTGTGACACCACAGCACTCTGTCTCATAAAAATAAAACAACAATGGAAACTAGAAATAAAACTGGAGTGCATAGACAGCAAGTATAGAAAGCAAAAGTAGGCTCGGCGCCCATGGTACAGTGGTTAGGGCACCAGTCACATGCATCGAGGGTGGCGGGTTTGAACCTGGCCGGGGCCGGCTAAACAACTGCAACAAAAAATGGCTGGGCATTGTGGCTGGCGCCTGTAGTCCCAGCTACTTGGGAGGCAGAAACAACAGACTTGCTTAAGCCCAAGATTTTGAGGTTGCTGTGAGTTGTCACACCACGGCATTCTACCAAGGGCGACATAGTGAGACTCTGTCTCAAAAAAAATAAACAAATAAATAAAAAAGCAAAAGTAACTTACACAAATTTCAGGTGACAAAGATTTTATTTAAGAAGAACAAAGAGAAAGCTTAGGGCACTTTGAAAGAAAGTTGGAAGCCGGTCCCTTTTGATATAGGATTCCTCCATTCTCTAGGCCCAGGTGAGCTCAGAAACCAGACCCCTATTTCCGGGCACAATCGCGCTGCCTTTTCCAGGCCACACCCTCTGGGCTCTATCGAGGTCTTGAACAAAGCAGCCTGAAATGTTTTGGGGTAGCTCCACCTTGAGTAGGGAACACACACCCTAATCCCTTCCCCGAGATAACCTTGCCCTAGTGGAGGAGGGATTGCAATTGTTTGTTAATGCACTCATTAACTTTGAAAAGATGTTTTTCTGCTTACCAAGTCCTGGCCAAAAATGTAATATATACCCTAGACAAAGGACCCATGGGAGAAACTTCCAACTTGGGTCTTCCCCTTTGCTTGAAGCTCTGGTGCTTTTTTTTGCTTTTGTATTCCTTTCTGTCTAATAAAATCCTATCTTATCACTGATCTGTGGTCGGTGGGTTCATTCTTTGAGGTCCCTGAGTCCAAGGACCTACTGAAGAGAAATTCTGGTTAACACTCTCAAGAAGGAAAAAAGGTGAGGCCAGAAAAAAGGCCTGCAAGGGTTTTAAATACTCCCTTTCAAATTGGCTGCAAGTCTTTCATTGGCTTCTCTGCACCTCCTGGCAGTATTGCCCTTTTCTATTTGTCATTGACTTACCTAGGTTACTTCATATCCATATTCTTACAGGCATTCCAGACATCCCGGTTAGGTCAGGCCAGGTTTTCCTTTGACATCCCCCCCCCCAACCCCCTAAGCCCCTTTCTTAGTTTACCTTCTCATTTTGCATAGCTTAGGCCTGTTAATGAGACACAGAGGACATCTGTAAGAGGAGGGGGCATGATAAGACATGTCTGATTTCCTTTTTCGTGGTGAGGAACTCAGTTTTAGGCATCCCCTTGGCCAAAAGGGAGGTCCAGTCAGAGGGCGTAGGATTTTTAGTTCACATGACACTAAATAAATGTGTAGCCCTAACTTGTTTCAGCTGAGTCTTTGGTCTAGAGGTTCAAGAATGAATCCACAGATTGCATGAGTAAGCAAAAAGGCAGAGTTTATTGATAGAAAGATTAATAAGCAAAAGGGGGGGAACAGAACCTCCAGCAATGGAGGGATAAATCCAAGTGGAAAGCCCACCTGGATCTTCTGTCTAGTGGTTTATAGACTGCTTTTTCTCTCCTGAGAGCAGGAGGCATTAGGGAAATGGAATGTATATCTGGAACATGTCACAATTGGCCAGCGGTCTGTAGGCAGAAAATAATTTGGGCAGCAGAATGCAGTCTTTGTAGTTCTTGCCCAATGTGAGACAGTAGGGTGTGTGTTTCCTACTTCCAAGAATAACATCCCAGATGATCAGGCTGCTTTATTTTGAGACAGAGTCTCTGTTGGCCTAGGTAGAGTGCCCTCATCGTTATTATAGCACATACCTAACTCCTGAGTTCAAGCATCCACCCGCCTTGGCCTCCTAAAGTACAGGCATGAGCCATTGTTCCCAGCCTTATTTTAAGTGCTCATACATACCAAAATGCTCCAAATTTCTGTTTAAGATACATCCTACTGGCCTGAGCAACACCAAGACCCTGTCTCTACTGAAAATAGAAAAAACTAGCCAAGCATTGCCATGCACACCTGTAGTCCCAGCTACTCGGGAGGCTAAGGTAAGAGGATTGCTCAAGCCCAAGAGTTTGAGGTTACTATGAGCTATGACACCATGACACTTTACCCAGGCAACAAAATGAGACTGTCTCAAAAACAAAACAACAAAGATACATCCTAAATACTAACATTATCGTGTCATATCCAACAAAAATTTTACTAGGCTTTTACTCACTAGTATAAAGCAGTGTGGTTGTGGTATTGGTCTTGTCTACATATTCTACAACATTCCTCCATTCCCCTTTACTTAGAAAACAACGTGAAATAAATATTCACCCTGGAAACGGAGAAAACAAGCTTTATTATAATGATTTGAGATTTTGTGCATGGTCAAGATACACATGAATCTTGTTTCTCCTGTGTTTCAAGACAATTAAAGTTTTATTGTAGACTAAAGCATCCAAAATACTGTGGTACATATGTAGCTACGAACGTACAAACACTTTGATGCACAGCGTTCATTCTTTTCTTTAAATAGGCAGTCAACATTTTGATTCATAAAAGAACAAATGATGAGACTTGATTAGTATCGATGTCAGAGAGTGCAAGACTTAGTATTCTATACACAAAACATGAAACAGACCTATAAAGATGGAATGTACAAAATCTAAAAAGAAAAAAAAAGCAAAAAAACCCTTTGTTTTCATACATAGGATAGAAAGGCTATAGAATTGAGAATGATATAAACAATTTTATTACAAGAACACACTCCATTGATGACAGAACATTCCCATGTCATAAAGCAAAAGCACTGAGTTTAAGGCTGTGTTGCTTTCAAAAGTTAATGGAAGTGCTGTACATTCATTGGAACAACATAGCCAATTTATTAATCTATTCTAGAGTATTAATTAATAGCTTTCATACATTCTCCACAAACAGACCACACAATCACTGCCACACAATTCATCTTTAGAAAGTTTTTAAGATAGAGTCATGATTTGTAGCTTACTGTCACTTAAAACAAAACAAAAATTTATTTATTTATACCAAACAAATCTTTAATGGGCACTTAGTTTTCCTTTATGGCGATACTAGATTCCTAGTTATCAAAAATATTAAAATAATTGTAAATTTTAAAACCCTGCAACATTTACAGAAAGCAACAGTATTACGATTTTCGGTTTTAAGCAAAGTTAGATGTTTGCATCAAATAGCTTCAATTTTATCCTACCTTGAAATGTCTTGTTTTTAAATTAAACTAAAAACACTCCTCCCTTTTCAGAAGCTGGTGAATAGGGAGGATACTATAGAGTCCAAATGTACAAAAAGACTTTTCCCATTTAATGTAATCTGCAGGTTACCTGATGTCATTTGCTATTTCCTCCAGTTAACCCAGTAGGTATTACCAAAGCGTTCACGTTAGCCGTTTAGCGTTAAGGATCCACAGATACTTGCTAGTGCACTGCTATTCCAGTTAACTCCATGGTAGGACAATATACCCTGTATATTACTAGTGGAAGCAAGGGTGTTCTAGTTACATGGATTTGGAATATTTGCCTCAAATATAGTTAGGAGTAAATTAAAATAGGAAACTTGGGAACTTCTTTAGTTCTGGAGACTGAAGTTTGATTAAAATTCTAAGTATCATATAAAAAAATGGTAAACAGTCATAAAGGCTTTTTAAAGTATTCTGGATGGTCAAGTGACTTCCTGCCTCCCCATGTCCAGCAGGGGGCATCTGTATTGGCAGGGAATGCATGGCCACTGACCTTCAAATCTTAACCCGGCAATATTTTGCCGTAAGTGCCCAGGGGAAATCTGAATGAGTTTTTTTTTCAGTGCTACTTATCATGAATGTATGACAGGTTCTATACACTTGACAAAGAAATCAAACAATGGTAGCCTGGAAAAAAGCCACTTATTTTAAAATCCTTCTCAGTTTACCAGAAACCATTTTCCATAGACTGTGGCAAAATTTCATTTACATCTTGTCTATTTGTATCTTAGCAGCACTTTCTCCCAAAAATATGCTTACCAAAAAGTATGGTAAATGCACATATGTATCCAAATGTGAAATGTTACCTATAATATTTATGATTACATTTTTTTGGGGGGGGAGGAATATAGTGTTTCCTGGAGTGCCCATAGCATGCATTTTAGTAACAGATGGTGGAACAGGTCTGAACCAAACTATTTTTTCATTCCAGTTTGTGCCAATATTGACGTGTAAAAAGAAAAAATAGCTTTGTATTCAGTTCACTATTGAGATATCTAGCCTGATAATGATATATGATGGATGGCTAAGTTTATAAGTTAATTTCTAAGTTCACAAGTATAATTTAAATATTGTGCAAAAAAACCTCTTTAAGTAAACTAGTTTTCAGATTAATAGCTTGTGACACAATCTAAATAGGAAGCCATTTTTTCTTGTGCAAATAAACTAAAATTAATTTCATCAATTTTGAAACTTTTCTTTTACACAGTCTAAGAACCATCAAGAGCCTAGCTTATCTTTTATGCAGAATGTTAGTAAATGGCAAAACGAAACTGCCTCCTCAGTGTGTAAGCTCCACAGGGGCAGGGATTTTTATCTGTTTTATCCATCACTATGTTCTCAGTGCTTCAAATGAGTGCTTGGAACCCAGTAGGCAATCAGTAAATATGAATGTTTAAATTCAAACACTTAATTTCACTGATGTTAGGAAAACAGTGTCTTAGTTTAACATAAAAATGTTGTTGAATTGGTAACTTTGTCAAAGACAGGCTCAAATAATACTTTATGTATTTATTTATTTTGAGACAGAGTCTCACTACGTCACCCTTGGTAGAGTGCCGTGGTGTCACAGCCCACAGCAACCTCAAACTCCTGGGCTTAAGCAATTCTCTTGCCTCAGCCTCCCAAGTAGCTGGGAATACAGGCACCTGCCACAGCACCCAGCTATTTTTTGTTACAATTGTCATTGTTGTTTAGCTGCCCCAGGCCAGGTTTGAACTCACCACCCTCGGGGTATGTGACTGGCACTGTGCTACGGGTGCCAAGCCTCAAATAATTTTTTAAAACTCTTAACTCTGGGAGACCAAGGCAGGTGAATTGCTTGAACTCAAGAGTTGGGAGACCAGCCCACGCAAGAGCAAAACCCCGTCTCTAAAAGATAGCCAGGTATTATGGGAGGCACCTGTAGTCCCAAGCTATTCTGGAGGCTGAAGCAAGAGGATCTCTTAAGCCCCAGAACGTGAGGTTGCTGTGAACTATGACATCATGGCATTCTACTGAGGGTGACAAAGTCAGACTCTCTCAAAAAAAAAAAAAAAACCCAAAAAACTCAACTAAATCTAAATATTCCTGAAAAACGTTTTTTCAGAGGTTAATTTGCACATAAGTTTAATAGACAGTTGGAAGTAGTGAGATTTCTCTTCTAATTTTTATAAGTCCTATATAATGACTGAATTATTAATTAATAAGCAATAAACATCACATTCATATAATTATACATATGGGAAATGTTTTCATATAGTACAGTTCTAAGGTGCTTTCAGTGAAAAAGATCCCAAAGTTATTACTGAAAATGCCAAACTTGACATTCTATTTGGTAGAACTGAGTAGAAAATTAAACAGTGGAAAAAGACCACATCTTATAGTACAGTACCGATGACAGATTAACAATTGATTAAATTGTTCTTGATATTTCTCAAAATGCATTTTTTATTTAAATTAAACATCACTCAAATTCAACTTTTCATCCAGGCTCACACCGTAATCCTAGTACTTTGGAAGGCCAAGGCAGGAGGATCACTTGAGCCTAGGAGTTTGAGGTTGCAATAAACCATGATGACACCACTGTACTCTAGCCCTGGCAACAGATCAAAGACCCTGTCTCCAAAAAGAAAACAAAATTCAACTTTTCTTTTGACCTGTTTTTCTTTTTCTTTTTTTTGAAAGCACAGAAGGTCATTTTCTGACCAAAAGTCAGCCATTACCATCATTCCTGGAAAATGTCAAAAATTAAATCTGTTTTAGGGCTTGCTCCACTAGGACGGCTTTAAACTATGTAGTAAAGGAATGTGCTGAAGAATGGCTGGACGATGCTTCTGTCTTCCAGAGTGCTGCCTATTTCAATACACCAAAGATTTAATTCTATACATATATATATATATAAAATACATTCTATCTTACCCTAATCATGTATACATAGTCCCTTAACACCTCTACTATTCATTAAACAATGATAAATAACCATAACATGCCCTTACCTGTAATGCTTTCAAGATAACACAACTTTGGTAACACCTGCTTTCTAAGGGGGAATCATTAATCAATCAATCACATGCCTTTGGTTGACACCATCAGTCCTCCAAAGGGCTACTTATGGCTCTCTGTCCTAGGATACTGGTGTCCTACTACATGTGCTGACATTTTGCAGAAGATAAAGCTTTTGCTTTCATGAAGTGGAAGAGGAGAGACACGTGTGAAAACATGGCACATAAGACTTTTTCTTGATTACATTCCAGTGCATTAATCTGGAGTTTAACGGGGCAGTTTGTTTACCAAAAGGTAGCACTGTTTTGTAATATGCTTTTCAAAGCACTAGGAATTCCAGGTTTCCCTGAAGATATACTTTGTTTTCTGACACTAGGTTCACAGGAAAGAGGTGGTGAAAAAAACACACGAAAAAGAATCTTTGTCTAACCCAGAAAGGCTTGGAAATTTGCATTGATTCTTAAGTGCTAAACTCAAGAGGCCTGCTAAATCAGAGCTGGGAGGATTTTGCAAGAGTGTCTTACTTTTTCTAAAGTATGTATGTAGTTGTTGATAACCAAAAAAAATGTCACAAGAGAATAACCTACTGTAAAAGTGAGGTTAGAAGACTCCCTGGGTCTGGTGACCTAGGTTAATGAAATATATAACTACAACAGATTTTATTTTTGTTTTGTTTTTGGAAGCTCTGTGCAAAAGCTACCATTCACAGGATCAACAAATACCTTTACATATTCTAGTTTTTTTTAGATGTTTGCTTGATTTGCAAAATTAACTACATAAATCTTGTCCTTTAAGCCATAGTTCACAGATGTAAAATTTGCAGTTTTTACAGATTCAGTAGAGGAGGTTTGTTATTTAAACCCCATAGGTGAATTATGGAAATTGTATAAGCAGTTTTTAAGGAAACTGTTACATTCAGAAATAACCTTGGAAAATTCACCAATGATTCCTTCTAGCTTAAAAAGATTAGTCATAATCTGGTCCCGCGTCGAGAAATCCATTCCAGTTTATAGTGCAAGACCTTTGGAAGGGTTGTCTGTCATTATGCCCATCATTACTGTAAATAGCGATAGACCTTGAAACAGTGGTTTCCAGAGTCTGCAACCACAACATGGCCATCTGATGTGAGGGCCAAGCCTTGGGGGCCATAGAGTGGGTCCGCAGATGTGTTAATGTAGGACAAAAAGGATCCACTCCCATCAAAAACCTGTAAAAAATATGAAGTTAGAACATTACAGGAAAAAATGATAGTAATATGCTGAAATAGGAGTTAGAAAACCCTTGATATTAAAGTTTTTAATATAAAAGCATGTACGTAACCCTCTCGGTTTAGGTCACTATCATATTTATAATCCTTTTTTCCACTTGCTTTTTCTCCTCTCCCTCTGACATAGAATAAGCCATTCACTGGCTACAAGACAGATCTCAGTTACTATTGGGGTCATAACAAGTATTTGGGCTCAGCGCCTATAGCTCAACCGGCTAAGGCGCCAGCCACGTACACCTAAGGTGGTGGGTTCGAATCCCCAGCCCGGACCCGCCAAAC